CACCCTGGAGGAGGCATTGAGAAGTAGAGATGGAAGAAACCTTGGAGAGCTTCTCAATTTCCCACCCATTATATAGGGTAGGAGACTGAGGCCTAGAGGTAATATTTTGGAGCTCCTGCAGCTGGTGGGGACAGAAGCCAGGTCGGAAACTAGAGGCCTTTCCTTGCAAACATGAATCCCTTTGTCTCTTTGTTTTGGGTCTTCAGTTTGGAGCAGTTCCGCAGCTTACCTTTACGTCCAACCTCTGTCTTTTATTTTCTCTCCTTTTCTACCACCACCAACCCCCACGGATTAGCCTAGATTCCACCTGGGAGATGGAGCACCTGTACCTGAACTGGACTTTAAGTCTGCACTGCCGAGGTGCCGGGGTTCCGAGGTCTAGGGGAACAGTTCTGGAGGGCAAGAGAGTCTGCCCCATGTAACTGGTTCCTGATGAGCAGAGAATCCTTGGGTACAGGCAGCTCGTAAGCGGGAATGCTGGAAAGTGACAGGAGGAAGTGGGGACCCCGTGGGGAGGGGAGTATTTTCCCTATAACTCCACCTTGCCAACAGCCTGGTGGGCAGAGTAAGCCATCAAGAAGGGAGAAGTAAGGAGGGGCACACACAACCAACAGGAGAACAAGGAGGCCTTTGAAGCTCAAAAGTACTGGGGAAAATAAAGGGATATTATTCACCCAGCAGGTGGTAAACAGTCCCAGCTAATGAGTATGTGGCACCTGACATTTTCCAAGGTAACTTCCAGAAACCAGCTCACTTAGTTTTTTCCACAGTCCTGAGAAGCCTAGAAAGGTTCTGCGATATGCCCAAGGTCACACAGCTGAAACTTGGACTTTCTGCTCCCAGGCCCATGGTCTTCCCCAAGTTCTGCCCCTCTTGCCTGAACTGTGGAACTGTTCAGCCCCAAGAGGAGGTGCTGGCCTCAAATAGAAAAGAGTTCACTGGTGTACAGTGGAGTAACCCTCTCCTGGCTAAAGATGTTCCTTCTCCAAGGCTAAAGATGTTCCTAGCTGCCCCACCCAGCTCCATATTGCTGTTGCCAAGTGCACTCCAGGCAATGTTGAAGTTCCCAATAGCAAGGTAAGCACAGGCTTACTTGTGCTTATTTGCTAATCTGTAGTGAAATTTTTCACTTTTTTTTTCCACATCTAAGATTTCTGCTTCTAAGTCTGGCTGGCATCTGTCTCTCCCAACCCCACAGCACCTCCCTACAGAATCAAAACCTCTTTGCAAATTAACAATCCCTGACAGAGATGAAGTACCCAGTAAGCAAGGTAAGCACAGGCTTACATGTGCTTACTTAGTACTATCTAGTGAACCATTTCATATGTTTGTACCACATCTTGAAAAACATGTGCAATTTCACTACAGATTATTAAGTGCTCACCTTGCTTACTGGGTACTTTGCGCCCTGAGTCCATATGACTGTGTCGAGTTGGCCCCAGAGTGTTTTCTTGAACGTCATCTTTACGGACATAGGTTATCAGGTCTTTCTCTTGCCCCAGCGGCTCAGTGTTCATATTGACGACCTTTTGGTTAGCAGCTGAGTGCTTCACCACTGTACTCTACCAGGGCTCCTTAGGATGTGCGCTAAATCCTCAGGAGGTGGCAGAGGGAGGTTGTGGAAGGTCGGGGAGGGGAAAGAGCAGAAGGAAGAGGGGAGGACTCCTGCTAGAAGATTCTTGCTGAATAAGGGCCTGTGTCACTGAGTGGACATTGAGTGGGAGTGGCAGGCTACCTTCACGATGGATGATTTTTATTGGTTACACATCCACCTGGGAGCACAGTGTCCCCCTGGCATCGGTGAAGGGTACAGACACCCGGCTGCGCCAGTTTCAGGCCTGAGGTTAGCCCCACATCCTGAGGCTCAAGAGGCCAGCTCCCTGGCTGTCGGCTCACCTGCTTCCCAACTGTGTGGTGAATTTGCCAAGAAGGAGTTGTGGGTAACATCTCTGTTATGGTCCGGTTGCCATGGCAATAAATTGTCACTAATTAGTAGTGTGGTTACCATGGCAATTTTCTAGTAATTACAGGTTACAAATGGTGCAAGGCTTCAACCCAACCCAATTAGTTAATTAGAAAGATTTAGAAATTTGTCCAAAAGGGAAATAACCTGCTTTGTAGAAAATGAAGGGAATGTGTCACAGCCTGGGGGCCAGAGGCAGAAAGGAAATTGGAGGATGCTGAAGCAGAGAAGAAGGATGGAGTTGAGTGGCGGCAAGTCCCCAAGCCCCACTTGGATTTCCGGGGGCCCAGGCAAGACTGAGGGCTCCTGGGCTAATGTCTGGCAGGACCAAGCAAGGAGAGCTGCCAGCAGCCACTTAGCGGCTCCTTTTTTAACGGGCAGAGGCAGCGCCCAGGTTGAAGCCCAGCTCCCTTCCCTGCTGGCTTTCCAAGTAGCATCTGGAAGCCTCCCTGTGACTCTCATAATGAAAAGCGGATGCCGTGTCTTAGATGACAGTCCCCAGGAGCCATGTGGGTTTAGTGGCTCGGACTCTGCTTGAGAGCTAAGTAGATTATCTGGGAGGGATCCAGGAGGCAAGAGCCCAACGTGTGTCAGCGAGAAGCCCAGCAATGAGGGTGGTGAGCCTTCAGACCCCCGGCCCTGAGCAGACTCCAGTGCGCAGGTGAGAGGGCCCAAGGTCCCCTCCAGGGGTAACTCTCTGACATCTGGAGAAGCCTGAAACCTCAGTGTCAAATTAACAGAGTCACTTTGGGGAATTTCTGTCCCATGAGGTGAGAGGGACTTGGCTGAGCTCTCATTTTTTTTTAAAAATCAACTTTTGGAGTGCTTCTTAGAGCAATCCTTTTCAAACTTCATGTGCGCACAAACTCCCCAAGGGTCTTCTGAGAATGCAGAGTCTGGTTTAGTAGGAGCCCAAGAGGCTGCATTTCAAACAGCTCCTGCATTTGGCCCGTAGACCTGACTTTGAGTAGCAAAGTTATAGTGTTCACAAAACCCTGTCACTCATTTGTTCCTCACAAACACTCTGAGGTAAAACAGGGCAGACTATCCCCATTATACCGGGTAACAGAAATTGCCCTAGGACATTCAATTTGTAAGAAGTCAACCTGGGACTATCATCCATGTCCTGGGCCCAGTCAGGCTGCACTGTATTGCCAGTGTTTGGGGTTGTGATGAGGGTAGGCTTGTTGTCCTGGGGGTAGGGGCTAAGGCCAAACAATAGAGACACTTTACTTGAAACCCACTGGTTGGAGGCGGTTTCTTCAAATTGTCTTATGGTTGGACTTGTTGATGTGGGTGGCTCAAATTTGATCTTGGAGACTTCAAGCTCATATAGAGCTGGCATAATTTTGTTCTTTCTTTTAAAAAATATACAGGATTGGATTTTTTTCCTTTCAAAATTTACAGCTTCAATTCTTTTTGTAACCAGCCAAACAACGCAGACATTCAAAGAAAAGGCCAACCAGCAGCGCTTCTTCCTGCCCTAAGTCCTAGCCATCAAGGTGCCCAGTATTCACAGTCCAGGGTGGGCATCCTCCCTTGTCTCCACACCCATGCAAGCGTGCAGAAACATGTCCATTCAGAAAGAGAATGTGGTTTTCCATGGTTTATAATAAAAATAGGATTACATAATGCCATTATTTGGCGATTTGCTTTTCATTTAACAATGGACCATGGGCACTCCTCCCCGTCAATACGTTATGGGTCTGTGTAGTCTTTTTAGTCAGTGCAGAATCATATATGGATGGACCGAAATCCGTTCACCAGTCACTATTGATGGACATACAGGATGTTCAAAACTGTTTTCTTCATCAAACAAGCAAAGTCAGCATCCTTGTACTGAGAGCAGGTGGTCCTGCTCCTCTTGTTGTTGATAGATGCCATCAAGTCGGCACTGACTCATAGCGACCCCATGCACAACAGAACAGAACACTGCCCCGTCCCACACCAACCTCACAATTGTTGCTACACTTGAACCCATTGCTGCTGCCACTGTGCCAATCCATCACACTGGGGAGTCTCCCTCTTTTTCGCTGACCCTCTATTTTACCAAGCATGATGTCCTTCTCCAGGGACTGGTCCCTCCTAGCAATATGTCCAAAATATAAGAGATGAAGTCTGGCCATCCTGACTTCTAAGCAGCATTCTGGCTGTACTTCTACTAACTCAGATTTGTTTGTTCTTTTGGCAGTCCATGGGACTATTAATGTTCTCTTCCAACACCGTAACTCAAATGCATCAATTAATTCTTCGATGGTCTTCTTTATTCATTGTCCAACTTTCATATGCATATGAAATTATTAAAAATATCATGGCTTGGGTCAGGCACACCTTAGCCCTCAAACCGACATCTTTGTTCATGAACACTTGGACTCCTACAGGCCTTTAAAGCAGGAATGTATCCATTGGCTTTGACCAGCGTATGTGTGAAGGGAAGCCTCCCTGGTGGCACTGTGGGTTAAGCATTGTGTTTCTAACCACACAGTCAGTGGTTCAAATCCACCAACTGCTCCATGGGAGAAAGATGAGGCTGTCTACTCCTGTCAAGATTTACAGTCTGGGGAACCCTGGGGAGCAGTTCTATCTGTTCGACAGGGTCACTGGGAGTCATAATCACCTCGATGGCAGTGGGGTGGGGTGGGGGGGATGTGAGACTAGGTATGTGTGTGTAAGAGAGAATCTGACATGAACAAAATAGTGTGGGGTGGGTAAGCTGGGTTTAGGGTTACTGTAATTCAGCCACTGTGTGCCCTCTGAGCCTTCATCGTGCTTTCACGCATGGAATCTTGGAAGCATTCCTTCAGCACATGGCTATTTGGTCCTGCTTCTCACCTGCCTCCTCATCAGTACCAACACTCTCCACACAAGTTTATGGGAACTTTGGGGCTCAGGGCAGCAGCAGGAAGGTCGCATTTCTCCCGGAGGCTCTTTGGAAATGTCTCCAGTGAAGCTTCTCCCAGGCCTTGGAGGCAGCCCCCATCCTCCAGGGGAGCCAGGCCTTTGCTTCTGCCCTCACAATGGGTGCATGTCCTTCTAGGGGGCCGGGGAGTCAGCGTGGGTCCCATCCTCAGCAGCAGTGCCTCGGATATCTTCTGTGACAATGAGAACGGGCCCAACTTCCTCTTCCACAATCGAGGTGACGGTACCTTCGTGGATGCTGCGGCCAGTGCTGGTGAGTGGACTCAGCCTATCTGCTCCCACACTCAGCATGCCACCCAGCTCTCAGGGAGAGTGGGAACAATCCTGGCCTGCCCCATAGAGAAACCTCGTGTCTCTCCTGAGTTACAAGCCATGGGGGATATCTGCTGAGAGGGAGAGGGGGGTCTGAAGTTCCTGACAGCATCCTAGAGTTGCCCCATGTATCTCTGAATCTTGCCTACTATGTTATGTCTCTCAGCATCGGTATCCCCTCCAAGCTATCTTGCAAGCTGGCCCCCCCTCACATTTATTGAAAACATTCAATTCAGTCCAATAGCCATTTATTGAGTCTCTGATAAATGTGTTCGGGGCTGATTATGCAGACTGGCATAAGGCCAAGACCCCCACACTTAAGGCACTGGTATTCTAGAAGGGGAAACAGACATACACACATAAGAAAACCTTGCTTTCTCCCTTTGTGTTCATCCCTCATCTGCCCCTGGACCTTTGCACCTGCCATTCCCTTTGCCTGCTCTCTCTGAATCTTCAGCGCTAAGTTCAAATGTCTCCTCTGCACAACTTTCTGGGTTCAACCCCTGAGCAAGCTTGGACTCGCTCCTCATTGTTCCTTGTCCATGCACGTATCTCTCACTCAGCCTTCTACATGGATGTAAGGATTTACTTCTCATCTCCATGGGGACCGAGGCTCACCCAGCAATTTTGCTTAATAGGCTTAATGAAAATGTGTGAATATAATCAAACTATTTATCAGGCTGCCCTGTGTCCACTTCACCCAACCCATTTCCTCCCCATCTTGCCAGTGAGTGGAAGGTTTGGATTTACCTCCTCATTAGAGACATTGGAAGGAGCTCTGCATTCCAGAAGAAGAGATGAGTCGGACACTGGACACATAAATTAAGGTCCTCCAAGTTCATGTGACAGGTAGCATCAAATCCCTAAGCATATGGCAATCCAGTCTTACTCCTTCAGCTTCTGAGTTGCCCATTTGGGGAAACTTCTGGACCAGGGCCCCAGCCTGGTGCCAGCCAGCCCCCAATCCCTGTCTTACCCCCATCCCCTTCCTTGGCAAAGTTAAAGTTGGAGGTAGTTCCCCTGGTCTGTTCTCTCACCCGATCACCTTTCCTAGTTCTGTACTCTGGCATCAAATTATTCTTGTTGCTGAAAAATCAAAGCAGGGGTGAGAGGTTTGAAACCTAGAGGGTTTGATAAGGTGTTAGAGAGATGGAGGCAGAGAGGTGAGTGAACAAGTTGGAGCCGGAGAAGGTACCAGGCGGGAGGAGCGAGAAAAGGTGCTAGGCCCGTAATTGAAAGTCAGAATGATTGCAGGGGTTTAACAAGACATGTCAAGAGGGCATTCATCACCCAAACAGATGCTGCTGTGAAATGCAGCCTGGCACCGATTATTCCAGCAAAAAGAACCAGCTCCTTGTCAAGGTGCCTCATAGATAGGAGAGAAATGGGTCCACACAGAAGGTCACTGACACTGGGTCTGGGGAGCTTTGCCGAGAGTGAGTGGGGATCAATCCTGGGGATTGGAGGCGGCCCCACTGTTTCTTTCTCAAGCCTGAGTCTCACTGCCTCTTCTTTGCCATACCCCCCAAGATTCTTCTAGGTCCCCCACCTTCTCCTGGCCCCCACCATCAGGGTGCCCGAGTTTGCAGCTGGTGAGAGCTCCTGGGGACCCTGGTGTCTGTGACCCCACTCCTAACATACTGTCCCATCCCTCACCAGTTCTGAGGGCCTGAGCGCCAACACAGCTTGTCCTCAGAGTCAGCAAGGATTCAGCAGGAGGGTCCAGAGTCTCCACAGCCCTCACCTCTGCCCCGCCTGAGGAAGCAGGTCTACCTGGAATAGCTGGGGGCCAGGCATCACTTTAGGTAGAGCCACCTGCACACACATCCCCAGGGTCAGCTCAGTCCTGGGGACACCAGCAAATGCTGAGGTGGCGTAACCACATCGCATCGGCCAGACATGCTTCCTTCTGGACCTTACAAGGTTCACTGCTAGCCTCTGGCCATCACCAGCGTCCCCAGTTTGCTTCTTTCTGTCAAATGATTTGTGCCCGTTCATTCATTCAGCAAGTATTTAGTGAGCACTGTGTGGTGATAGCAGGCCCTAAAACCAAGGCTGAGTGGGTACAGGTGAACAAAAAGGAGCCTGACCCCCTGGAGCATAGGGCAGCTGGAAAAACCAGGTCCTAAACTGGGAAGCCTCAGAAGAATGCAAGCACATCCTGTGAAAAAGGCTATGAAGAAAAAGAATAGGAGGCTCTCGGGGGTGGGGCGGTGAGGGGGGAGGGCTGTTGAGATGGCATTTTCACCAAGAGCAGAAGAATAATGCATAGCCAGGTGACTGGGAGCTGGGGAGGAGCCTTCCAGGTGAGAGACCAGCTTGAGTACAGGAGAAAGCTTGGTTCCTTTAAGGAATGAAAGGGACATGGCAGGGTGGGGCAGGAAGGAGGTGAAGGGAGATGGTGCCCATTGCACAGTGAATGAGAGGGAGGGGCATGATCAGACAGGGCCAGTGATCCCCTGTCATTAATTTGAACTTGTCCCAAAAGCACTGAGGAGCCATTGACTAATTTAAGCAAAAGTGTGACATCATCCCAATCATTGTCTTCCTAGTGGAGATTTGGTGTGGTGGTGTACAATAAGCACTGGCCCTCAAGGTTGGTTTGAACCACAAGGTCAGCAGTTCAAACTCTCCAGTCACTCCTTGAAACCCCTCTACAAGGTTGCTATGAGTCAGACCCAACTCAGTGACACTTAACAACAGTGACAGATGCAAGTGGCTGAAAAGAGCTTTGTTATTGTCGGTTTTAGTGCTGTTGAGTGTGATCCGACCTTAGCGACACTGTGTAGGGTTTCTGAGGAATGGCAGGTGGGTTTGAACTGCCGACCTTGTGGTTAGTAGTCCAGTGCTGATCCTGTAGTGCCACACCAGGACTCAGAAAAGAGCTTCAATCCTTCCAAATTCACACCAGTCTCCTAACGCCCACCTATGTAACCCCAACCCTGAGGAAAATCAGTGTGCTTGTTGGCAAACCCCTGGAGGCCAAATCTCTGGTCCCCTTTTTAACTGCTCCCCTCCCACACTGTGGAGAAGTTCTAACTCAGGGCTGCGTGTCTGTCTCCCTCGTCTGCTCCCAGGAAGGCAGAGACAGTGGAGGAGTACCCTCCATCCTTGCTCTTCATGGAGCTGGAGCAAGGTAAGTGCTGGTGGAGAGTGCAGGGGAAGGTACCCTCAGAGCTCCTGCTGTTCCCTCTGCAGGTGTGGATGACCCCCACCAGCATGGGCGAGGCGTCGCCCTGGCCGACTTCAACCGTGATGGCAAGGTGGACATTGTGTATGGCAACTGGAACGGTCCCCACCGCCTCTACCTGCAAATGAGTGCCCACGGGAAGGTCCGATTTCGGGTAAGAAGGAGCCTCACCCTCCTTCCCTTCCCATGCTCAGCTCTGTCCTCAGCCCTGCACCTCCCGTCTAGCTGAGAAGGAACTGTGGCTTTCCAGGACCTGGAGACAGGTGGAGGGGCTGTGATAATGAAGGTAAACTCCTGGTCTTCTACAAAGACTCTAGTACCTGGAGCAGGAAGAGTGAACAGCACAGGAGAGACTCTCCCAAGATGGGCGGGAGGTGAGGAGGACCTGTGAGACCTAGCCTGCATCTTCTGGGTCAGAACAGTCTTGCTGGTGGGTTGTGGAACACCTGAGGGTTGGTGGTTGGAGGTGAGGGGGGAAGGTTGAGGCTACAGAGATCCCAGGGGCTGTTCTGAAGGTCAAACAGCAGAGGGTGGGCAGGGAACTTTGACCTCAAACACCTCCCAGAGCTGTCAGTGGGCTAGCTGGTGGCCATGGTGTAGGTGCTACCAGCTTGTGGAGGGCAGTGCAGGACATGGACCATTGAAGCCAGCCTCAGAATGAAACTCAGGGTACACAGGCTTTTCCAAAGCCCCCTGAGGGAGTGATTTCAAGTCCAGCCTTTGCCCTGTGGTCTGTGTGAGAGGCCATCACTGTGAAGGCCCTCCCTGGTAGGTGACCCCTTTGGGGTGCTCGGGCTCAGCACCCCAGTGGGTCCTGGATGGTGCTCATCTTTAATTAAACCCTGTAGTTCTCAGCCAAGGACGATATTGCACACACACGTCAATCAGGATATAGGATTGTCTGGAGATGTGTTTGGTTGTCACACAGGGCAGGAGATCTACTGGGCTCTAGTGGGTGGAGACCAGAGATGCTGCCACACATCCTGCAATATACAGGACAGTCCCTACAACAGACTTATTTGGCCCAGAATGCCAACAGGGCTGAGGTTGAGGAACCCTGTTAACCCTCTGGCAGCCCCTTCCAGAGCTCACAGGAGCAATCATCCTAATCGTAAACATACCATTTCTGAAATGCCTTCCGTGTGCCAGGAACTGTGCTAAGTACTGTCCATACATTATCTCGGAAGCCCAGGCGTCCAGTGGGGTGACCCCAAGGGGCTCTGTAGGTTTCCATTTTTATAGGATCAATATAATAATAATGAATCAGAAATCCTGAGATCGCTTTGTTTCCCAGCTCTTACACCCTGCTCAGCCTGGTCAACTGGCCTGGTTCTTAATCAGCCTCGTTCCTGTGCTGATGGGAGCAGCTTCTCCCTGGCTATTCCATAACAGCAGGAAGCCCAGGGGTAGGGGACCACACTCAGAAACCCTGACTGGACCCTTCTCAGCCCAGGATGTGGAAAGGCTCCAGGTCTTTAAGGGGTACACGCGTTCTCGGGAAGGTCACACTGCACAACTCTCCTTTTATTTCAAAGGCACATCCCATACTTGGGGCCTTTGCCAGGTCTGCCCAAAGGTCTGCCAGCACTTTGGGACCCCAGCTGGGCTCTTATGGGTCCCTTGGGCAGGTATAGCTGATACTGCAACCTCCCAGAGCAAATAAACCTCAAAAAAAAAAAAGGTTCCTGAGAAACAATATAAGTTGATAGAAGCAGCAAATATCACAGCTACAGGCAGCCACCACCACTTCCTAAGTTGCCAGATTTCTCAGATGGCAAGAGAGATCTATTTAGCTCCTATCCGCGCCAAGAGTTTTACATCCATCACCCCATGCGGTCCTCACAGCCTATTATTATCCCCTGGTACTGATGAGGAAAATGATGTTCGAAGGGCTGAGTAACTGAACAAGATCATACAGCTAGCCATCGAATACACCATGCCTGTGTCCTGTCTGACTCCCAGCTCTCATTAGCTGTGACCAAGGGCAAGCCCCCTCCCTCTCTAGGACTCAGTTACCTCACCTCTAAAATGGGAATGCTAATGTCTGCCCTGGAGTCCTGGTGTGGCCTGAAGGATAATGCGCTGGACTGAAATGTCAGTTTCAACCGCAAGGTCGGCAAATCCACCAGCCACTCCATGGAAACCCTATACAGGGTCACTATGGGTGAGAACTGACTTGACGGTATTTAACAACAACATCTGCCCTGGTACCCTGGTGGCAAAGTAGGTTAAGCATCGGGCTGCTAACCACAAGGTCAGTGGTTCAAACCTAGAGGCTGCCTGCTTCCATAAAGATTTACAGTCTCAGAAATCCTAAGGAGCGATTCTACTCTGTCCTGACTCAGAACTGATCCAATGGCAGTAGGTTGGTTTAATGTCTACCCTACCTAACAGGACTGATGGGAAGGTTCAGAGAGTAGGTGCAAGAGCAGAGTTTCACTGATGTTGCCCAAGATGCGTGTGGCTCGAAACACAGCCCTTCGTGCCCCTTGAGTAGGGAGAGAGGGGCTGTTGCATGGGCAACATGTTTAATCTTTGAGCATATCCCCATTCCCAGTAAAAGGAACTCTCCCCTTGACCATTCCACTCTCATCCACGACCCTCTCTCCTGCCAGGACATTGCCTCACCCAAGTTCGCCATGCCCTCCCCAGTCCGCACGGTCATCGCCGCCGACTTCGACAATGACCAGGAGCTGGAGGTCTTCTTCAACAACATCGCCTACCGCAGCTCCTCAGCTAACCGCCTTTTCCGGTAGACACTTCATGCAGCTTGGCTCATGTGGTTAACATTGGCAGCAGAAGGGGAAGGGTCTGAGGTGGAGGGAGGTGCCTACAGGAGGAACGGAAAGGAGAGGGAGGTGCAGAGATTGCAAGAGGCTGCAGGGAGATGGAGAGAGTACTGAATGAGGAGCTAGCTTCCTGCTGTAGCGGGGAAATGTGGCCCAAAGCACACCTCTAAGCCGAGATCTGAAGGATAAAAATCCACAGCACAGCACAGGGTTTCAGGGTCAAATCCGTTTGGTTAAACCCAAGTTAAGCAAAGTTAGTCAGCTTTATTTACTGTACAATTTCTCGGAGCCTTTAAAATGCCCAGGAGTACTCATGTGCCGCATAACATCTGTTCAGGCAACATCTGACCGCATATTCGTCCATGGTCCCATAAGGTTCTACGTGTAATCAAGTTCAGAAATCCCCACTGGAGTACAGGATGGGGTGAACACAGGGAACACAACAATTTCCTGAATGCAATACATGGATCTCCTGCCTGTACACCACATGATTACACTGCCAGGCAGATACTGGTACAGTACATAGACAACCTGTAACACATATGTCTTGATAGTCATAATGAATGCCTATGTTACTGGCTTATGTGTGTACTGTACTTTCTATCGCTGTTTTATTGAGAGCTCTCTCTATTTACAGATGAAGTCTATTGTATAACAGTGCAAACTTCCATTCACAGGCAGCAGCACCTCATGGATCACCCATTTCTTGAGTGTGGTAGGGTTTTCTCTCCGTTTAATTTTGTTTTGAAAATTTTACCATGAAGTGCATCATGGTTCCTAAACACAGAAACCCAAGGCTCAGGGGAGCAGCCAGGAGGCAAAGGAAAAGCCTCAATTTGAAAGTGAAACAAAAGGCTGTTAAGCATTTGGAAGCTGGAAAATCAGCGAATGCTATTGCTCATGATTTGCACAACATCCAAATCACATGACACCTTATTTCACAGACTGGATCATGGACTTTAAGCGATGCATGACTGATTTCAACTTTCCAAAAGGTGCATTGTGGTTGCTGTTGTTAAATGCCATTAAGTCAGTTCCCATCAATAGCAACCCTGTATAGGGTTTCTGAATCCTGGTGTGATGCTATGGATTAATGCGCTAGACTGCAATGCCATTTGAACAGCAAGGTTGGAGGTTCGAGCTCACCATTCACTCCTCGGAAACCCTATACAGGGTCGCTGTGGGTCGGAACCGACTCGGTGACACTTAAAAACAACAATAGGGTTTCTAAGGAGCAGCTGGGGGGTTTGAACCAACGACCTTGTGATTAGCAGTCCAGTGCTTATCCTATAGTACCACATCAGGACTCCAAAAGGTGGGTGTTGTTGTTGTTAAGTGACATGGAGTTGGTTCCGACTCATAGTGACCCTGTATAGGATTTCCAAGGAGTGGCTGGTGAACTTGAACTGCCGACCTTGTGGTTCAAACCAGCCTTGCAGCCTAGCACATTAACCTGCAACGCCACACCAAGACAGTATTACAAATGGATTGAACCACAGGACACCTCCTTCAAAGGTGGTCTCTTGGGATTTGGTGTTCTGTAAAACATCCTTTGGGAAATGCCAGATTTCTCAGATGGCAAGAGAGATCTCTTTAGCTCCCATCCGTGCCAAGAGTTTCACATCCATCACCCCATGTGTTCCTCACAGCCTATTATTATCCCCTGGGACTGATGAGGAAAGTGAGGAACTGGACTAAGATCACACAGCTAGCCATCGAATGCACAGCGCCTGTGTAGTGATAGACAAGGAAAAGGGAGTTCGAGAAATGGAAGGAGTCTGCAGGCATCTAAATATTGCATCCAGGGAGGAAGGGCTGGGTTTTCTGAGGCATCCAGAGCCCACCACAGATCTGAACTGCACCTTCAGGGGTCAGGCCCCAGAAACTGTGTTTTTAACAAGTGCGTTAGGCACCATGTGACGTTTATCTCACTGGTTTGAGGACCGCTGGTGAACTTGAGACTACCCTCTCCTGTCCCTGGCCCAAAACATGCTGATGGTTCAAGACCAGAAGGGGAGAGGAGAGAGGGGCAGGCTCTTTGGATCCAGGAAATGGGCCTGTTCGCCTGCTCGGCTCCCCACGGCCCTCACCCTTTTCCCCAGGAGGGCCCCAACTATTAATAAACGGTGAGAGCTGTGACTAAGCGTGTTTTAAAATATAATTATTAACAAAGCATCAATCCTGACCGGATGTAATCACCCCCTGAAGGCACCAGATTTACTAATTAGGTGCCTTGCAAAAAGCTTATTCACAACTTCTAGATTAATTGCGGGAGATCAATTGCTCGTTAACAGAGACACTGCTTCCCTTCCCTGGCTAATAAAGTGTCACTTGCCGGGACCCCAAGTACCATGGAGTCCAGTGCTCTTGTCTCTGTGGCCAGAGCACCCAGGCACTGCCCATCACCTCTGAAGCAGGCCCCTCTGGACTGAGAGAGGGACAGGCTCACCACGTGGTTCGTGTTTGTTGACTTACACACAGCAGCACAGAAGCCACTTCCCAGGTATGTGGCTGTGCCCCAAGTCCCTGCGGCAGATGGCTGGTCCTGAGTATGCAGTGGGAAGTGAGAGAGAGGCCACTGCCACTCAGCTGCAGCTCTGGAAGCTGTAACTCCACCTGCCCCACAGGGCAAAGGCTTTGCACCTGTCACCAAACGGAACATCATGGACTCCCTGGGCACACCGAGCACTGGACACTCAAAGCTTCCGTAAGTCTTTTAATGACACCTAGGGTGACCAGGAAGGAGTACTGGTGTGGCACTGTAGGATAAGCAATGGACCTCAAGGTCAGAAGTTCAAACTCATTAGCCGCTCCTTGGACTCAACAACACTTAACCACAAAGGATAAGCAGAGAAGGAGCCCTGGTGATGTAGTGGGTTATATATTGGGCTGCTAGCTACAAGGTCAGCAGTTCTAATCCACCAGCCGCTCCACAGGTGAAAGAGAAGGTTTTCTGCTGCTTTAAGGATTAACAGCCTTGGAAACCCACCATATGGTCACTATGAGTTGGAACCAGTGGGCTAGGGTAACCAGGGAGTTTCTGTGCAGTGTAAACAGTTAATGTACTCTGAGGCACCTTGGAAGAAAGACCTGGCTATCTACTTCTGAAAGTTCAACTTTGAAATCCCTGTGGAGCACAGCTCTCCTCTGACACAATGGGGTATCCATGGGTCAGAATTGGTTCAACAGCGGCCAATGAGGTCAACCAGAGAATTCCTTACCCAAGCCAGGACACTTGAGACAAGGCAGGGGGCTGATTCATGCCAACAGCAGGACACTGTCCCAGACCAAGCAGGACATGATCATTTTCATCTCTCCATTCCTCTAGGCTCCTGATTCCTGCTCCTAGATAAAGAATGAGCCCCAGTTCTGTGGTCCCCTCAGGCCACTGTCCCTGTGGCCATCAGTTAGCACTCTGGGTCCTGGTCAGCAGCCCTCAGACTCCGCATCCATCCTTCCTGGTGCACACCGTCTCCCCAGGCCGGCCACAGTGCCCAGCACACAGGATTTGCCTCACGAGTGTGTTTATTACTTAGCAGTCCTCCTGGTAACCCTGTGTGTGTCAGAATAGCTGAGCTCCACAGGGCCTTCAACAGCTAATTTTTAATTTATTTTTATTGTATTTTAAGTAGAAACTAGGCCTTGCTTCTGAGCTGCCTCTGGGTGGTCTCAAACCGCCAACCTTTGGATTAGCAGCCGAGCTCGTTAACCATTTACATCACCCAGAGACTACTGGGTTCTAACCTTCGGAACCCATGACTCCCATAGCCCTATTGTCACCTGAACAGGTGTCTGCCCAGCTGTAGCAGAGTCTACAGGACACTCATGGTCAAAGGAACACGCCCAGGCCCACAGCCCAAGCTGCACACATGGATGTGCTCAGCATAGCATATCCACACAGACAGAGGACACTCATTGGGCGTCACCTCAGTCCTGCAGAAATCTGCCACCTCAGTTCTGCAGCACTCTCTGCCCCGCCCCTCCTGCAAAGCACTGGCCACTTCACAGCCCCCTGGTGGTCCTCTATGATTTGAGTGTAGAGTTCTTGGGCCTTTCTGCCCTTCCCCATCACTGCTCCACACCTCCAGGGCAGAGCATCGAAGGCTGTGAGGAGATGAGTAGGAACATTAGAGGAGTGGGAGAGTCAGTAGCTGCAGCTCACCACAACCATCAGCATTCAGCTCAGTGTGGAGGACTTTTCTGAAGCAAATATAATCAAGATTCAAAGTTCAATGTAAACAGGACCCCTAGAACCCAGAGAGGCCCTTTCCTCCATTTTGCTTCTGGAATCCACCCATGTATCCCACCGACATGTGCTTGGAGCTTTGGAGAGCCTGGCACTGTGTTAGATGCCGAGGAAGACGGAAAGATGAATAATGCATGGCCCTAGCCTGCAACAAGCTCACAGTCTACCCGGCAGAAAAGATGTATTCGTACAGAGCTTAACACAAAGTAGGACATGATAAAGCCCACGAAAGTGATCTAGGCAGAGCTGGAGAGACTGCTTCCAGAAGGACCCTCAGTGAGCTTGGAGGAGGTGGCATTTGAGGGGGTTTGAACCCTAGGTAGGATTCAGAACTAGGAAACCCAGGGGCCACTTGGACGGAAGTGAAGGTCATTTGAAGGGAGTTGTGTACCCACCCTTTCTCCATCCATCAACTGCCCTGCCCCAGGCTGTCTATAATTCATCCATTAGAGAAGGAAAAATCAATATTAACCAACATAAATTTAAACCCAGGAAGGGACCAGTCAGGGTGTAGGCCGGGTCTGAGCAGAGTGACTCCGTGGGCATCAGGGGCAGCCTGGACACAGTAGGCCTGGGAATGCTCAGGAGACAGAGGGCCTGGACCCCACTGGGCCCTGCTTAATGTGAACAACCTTATCCCTCTCCCACAGTGTCATCCGCAGGGAGCACGGGGACCCCCTCATTGAGGAGCTCAATCCTGGTGATGCCTTGGAGCCTGAGGGCCGGGGCACAGGTGAGGAACTTTGGGACCCTGCCCAGGCCCTAGGGTAAGGGCAGGAGGGGTGGGGCAGTGACCCCTCACCAAGGGGCAGAATGTAAGAAGAGCAGAGATGGGCTCCCCTAAGGAGCTGCCAGTCATGAAGTAAATTGGTCCCTTTTCTGATCTCAAGGCTGCTAGGAATATGGGATCCTGGGCATGGCTCTCTGGTAATGCCAGGGGGTGGGGGAGGTGGGAAGGAATGAGCCCCTTCTGGTTCTGAGCTGGCCTGCAGTCTCACCTGGCCACCTGGGCACCCAGCTTGGACTAGTAGTCACAAGACCCAGTTCTGCCATTGCCTTGCTTCATGCGGTCGTGAAAAAGTGCCTTCATCTTCTGGATATGGTTCTCCATGTCCATAAAGTGGGAATCATTATATCTGCCCTCTTCAAGGGCCTCCTAGGCAGGAGTGAAATCTCATTATTACAGGAGGCGTGGTGACAGACTTCGACGGAGATGGGATGCTGGACCTCATCTTGTCCCACGGAGAGTCCATGGCTCAGCCACTGTCCGTCTTCCGGGGGAATCAGGTGCGATGTAGTTGAGGGTGGACAGGGCCATGGAAATGTGGAAATCTCCAGGGTCTCATGGCAGCAAGTCAACCCCCGCATAGCACAGGAAAGCTCCCGGGAGGAGCCCCTGGACCCCCTACCCTCCATTGCTACTTCTCCTAAAGCTGTTTTCCCTTAGTCTACCAGCTTGTGCTCCCTCCCTTCCTGCCAGCCCGTCTGGTCTATCTGCTGAGCTCACCTCCCTTGTCCAGCTTCCTTGTCCTCTCTCCTTCCTCTGCCCATTTCTTCTCTCCCGATTTTCCCTCCCCTTTGCCTCTCCCTCACTGCTTTCCCTGACCCCACACACCTGCCTTTGGCCTCCCCACAGGGCTTCAGCAACAACTGGCTTCGAGTGGTGCCAAGGACGCGGTTTGGGGCCTTCGCCAGGGGGGCCAAGGTGGTGCTCTACACCAAGAAGAGCGGTGCCCACCTGAGGATCATCGACGGGGGCTCAGGTTACCTGTGTGAAATGGAGCCTGTGGCACACTTTGGCTTGGGTGAGTGGGGACCATAGTGGCAGGGGGTGGGGTGGTTGCTGAGTGGTTCAGGGAACCACGGCTCGAGGAACCACTATATGTGATCACCTGTGGCCAACACCAGCCCTTGTAGGCCATCCCTGCTGGGAAGTAAACTGCAGCTCAAGGTGAGAAAACCTAGTTGCTGCTGGTCAACTCCAACTCACCACATCACCACACTTGTCAGAGTAGAACTACTTTTCAATGGCTGGTTTATCAGAAGTAGATCTTCAGGCCTTTTTTCCAAACCTCCTCTGCGTGGACTTGAACCTCCAATGTTTGGGTTAGCAGTCGAGTGTGTTAAGTTTTTACCTTGCCCATGGACTAAAGCTCCAGATGAAGGGAACAGGAAGTACTAGCTGCCCCGCTCCTTATCAAAGTCATACTAGTTCACTCTTCACACACTGCCCATCCTACAACCCATTCATTCAACCAGCTGTTTCCCTGACCTCTTGGAGACGGACTCAGTGGTTAAATGTCTCACCAAACCCCTGGTGTTTTCCCTTGGACGGAAGGTTTGGGGAAGCCATCCATTCTCAATTGTTGTCTGTTATTAAGTGCCGTCAAGTCAGTTCCGACCCATAGCAACCCTGTATAACATTTCCAAGGAGCAGCTGGTAAGCTTGAACTGCTGACCTCACAGTTCAGATAGGGGGCAAAAATTGGCTCTTGTGAGAGAAAGGAAAAAAATCTTTTTTTTTTTTTTAATATTGTATGTGTGAACAGATATACAGTATGTCTGTGGTATTAATGAGAAATCACTACACACTTATTTGTTGTCATGTTGTTGTTAAGTGCCATAAAGTTGATTTCAACTCATAGTGACCCTGTGTGGGGTTTCCAGAGCTGTAAATCTTTGTGGAAGCAGAAAGTCTCATCTTTCTCCTGTGGAGTGGAAAGTGGGCTCGAATCACCAATGTTGTGATTAGTAGCCCAGTGCTTACCCTACAGAACGAAAATAAAAAATCATGACAATACCAAATGCCAGCAAGGATGTGGAGAAACTGGAGCTTTCATAACTTCCTGGTGGGAATGAAAAATGATACAGCCCATCTGGAAAGCCATTTGACAGTTTCTCTAAACAAAAAAAGGAAAAAGGAACAAACAAACAAAAACCAAACATATTGCTGACATCTGACCCAGCAATTACACACAGACATTTGTTCTTGTTATTAGGTGCTATCGAGTCAATTTCTATTTGTAACAACCCAGCGTGACAGAGGAAAACTGCCCCATGGAGTTTTCTAGACTGTAGTCTCTAAAGAAGCAAATCAAGAGATCTTTTCTCTTGGCTCAGCTGCTCGTGGATTCAAACCACCAACCTTTTGTGTAGCAGCTGAACGTTGAGGAACACTTGCTGTTGTTGTTATGTGCCGTGGAGTTGGTTCCGACTCATTGCGACCCTGTACAAGGTTTCCGAGGCTGTAAATCTTTACGGGAGCAGAAAGCCTCATCTTTCTCCCATGGAACAGCAGGTAGTTTCGAACTGCTGACCTTGCGGTTCACAGCCCGATTCGTAACCACTACGCTACCAGAGCTCCTTTGAGGAACACTAGGGGTAGCCAAGTGTGTCTTTGCTAAACTCCTGTGACACCAGCGCTCCTTCCTGGGCATTTATCTCATACAAATGAAACTTACAGCAGCTTCATTCATAACAGCCTGAAAATGGGACTAACTAGAGTGGTCCACAGTAGATGACCAGTTAAGCCAACTGTGGTGTATCTGTACCACAGAATAATAACCAGCAAGAGAAAGGAAGAAACTGTTGGTACACAACTATTTGGTTGGATTTCAAGAGCATCATGGGTGAAAAAGCCCAACTCAGAAGACCACATACTGTTTAATTCTATTTGTCTAATAATGTTTTCAAAATGCTAAAATTGTAGCGATGGGAAACAGATTAGTGGTTGCCAGGGGCTAGAGATTGTCGGAGGGAGAGGTGGAGCCGCCTGCAGGAGATCTTCGCGGTGATGGGACAGCTCTGGATCTTGGTTACATGAATCGACGCTTGTGCTTTAATGACACAGAACAAAATACACACAGTGCACCAATGTCAAGTGTCCTGGTTCCGATATTATATGATAGTTAGGTAAGACAACCAGTGGGGAAGAGCTAGTGAAGGATATATGGAATTTCTCTCTGTTATCCTTGCAACTTTCTGTCAATCTATAATTATTTCAAAATAGTAAGGTTTTTTAAAAAATTCATGAGGTGGGAAGACTAGGAGAATGTCTAAAAAGACTTTGAAGGAACTTGATAAGGGAAAAAACATTGAGGAACACTGGGGATAGCCAAGAGTGTCTTTGCTAAAACACAGTGATTAAGGATACATCCTAGGTTCAAAACTAGACACCTTCCCCCAAGTACTAACACCTCATGAGGTGATATTAATATTAAAAGAATAGACAATATGGTCTCAAATTAACAAAAATGTATGTTAATATTATACACATATCATATGTGCATAGGAAAAAGAAAATGCAGCCAAGTGTGAACAGTGATGAATCCAGGAATTCACTGCCTTGCAGATGTGATACCAAGCACTTTGCTCTTGTTATCTTACTGAAGCCCCTTACTGACACCATGAGGTGGGCATTATTGCCCCCACTTTACAAATGGGAAAATTGAGGATCAGAAAATTTTAAAAACCTGCCCCAGGTCACATGCTAGAGCCAGGGTTCAAACTCAGGCCTGACTGAGTACATGATTTTTATTTTCTTCCATATAGTTGTGTGTATGTATAAGTATGTGCGGTGTGAATACATAATATTTATCTCATCAGAAAAAGAATCAATAAATATTTAGGGGCTCAGCTGGGTTATGTCGCATGCTGTTCAGCAATTTCGCCCTGGATGGGTTGGTCTGCACTGGGGGTGTCTGTTATTTCTGAGACAGCCATTCTTTATACCAGCCTTAACGATACAAGATGACTGTTAAAACACAGTCCTCTAAAAGAGCAGTTGTTGTTAGGTAACATAGAGTCAGTTCCGACTCATAGCGACACCAGGTACAACAAAACGAAACACTGCCCTATCCCATGGCATCCTCACAATAGTTAAGCTTCAGCCCACTGTTGCTGCTAATGTACCAGTCCATCTCATTGGGGATCTTCCTCTTTTTTGCTCCACTTTACCAAGCCGTGCTATCCTTCCTCCAATTCTGATACCGCATTCTTCATAAAATCTAGCTTCTTGGATTATTTGCTCAACATACAGATTGAATAACTATGGTGAAAGAATACAACCCTGGCACACATCTTTCCTGATTTTAAACCATTCAGTATCCCCTTGTTATGTTTGAACAACTGCCTCTTGGTCTACATACAGGTTCCTCTTGAGACAATTAAGTGTTCTAGAATACCTATTCTTCACAATGTTACCCATAGCTTGTCATGATCTACAGTCAAAAGTTTTTGCATAGTCAATAGAACAGAGGTAAATATATTTCTGGTATTCTCTGCTTTCAGCCGAGATTCACCTAATGTCAACAATGATAGCCCTCATTCCACGTCCTCTCCTGAATCCCGCTTGAAACCTCTGGTAGTTCCCTGTCATTGTACTGTTGCAGCCATTCTTGAGTCATCTTCAGCAAATTTTTACTTGCATGTGATATTAATGATCTAGTTCTATGATGTATGCATTCCATTGGGTCACCTCTCTTTGGAATGGGCATAAATATGGATCTCTTCCAGTCAGTTGGCCAGGTAGCTGTCGTCCACATTTCTTGGCATACATGAGTGAGCATCTCCAGTACTGCATTAGTTGGTTGAAAGATTTCAATTTGTATTCCATCAATTCCTGGTGCCTTGTTCTTTGCCAATGTCTTCAGTGCTCCTTGGACGTTTTCCTTCAGTATCATTGGCTCTTTGATCATATGCTACCTCTTGAAATGGATGAACATCAACCATTTCTTTTTGGTTGTGATTCTGTATTCCTTCCATCTTCTTTTGATGCTTTCTGCACCATTCAATATTTTGTGCATGTTGTTGTTGTGAAGTGCCATCAAGTCAGTTCTGACCCATAGCAACCCTGTATAGGGTTTCCAAGGAACAGCTGATGAGCTTGAACCACCAACCTTGCAGTTCAAACGGCTTTGCAGTTAAGCGCATTAACCCACAGCGCCGCATTTTGCACATAGAATCATTCAATACTGCAAGTCAAGGCTGGAATATTTTCTTCAGTTCTTTCAGTTTGATAAATGCTAAACTCCAGGTCTTTGCACGTTTCATTATAATATTTGATGTTGTCTTTTCTAACTGACCTTTGACATTTTCTGTTCAGCTTTTTTACCTCCTTATATCTTCCTTTCACTTTAGCATCTCTAGGCTAGAGAACAATTCAGTCTCTTCAAACATCCATTATGGACTTTTCTTTCTTTCTTGTCTTCTTAATGGCCTTTTGCTTTCTTCCTGTATAGTTCTTGATGTCATCCCACAACTTTTTGGGTCTTTAGTCATTAGTGACTAATGCATCAAATCTGTTCTTGAGATGGTGCCTAAATTCAGGTGGGATACGTTCAAGATCATATTTTGGCTCTTGTGTACTTGTTTTCATTTTATAAAGCTTCAGCCTGAAATTGCATAAGAACAATTGATGGTCTATTCCATAATCTGCCCCTGGCCTTGTTTTGACTGATGATGTGGAGCTTTTCCACTGTCCCTTCCCACAGATATAGTCAATTTGATTTCTGTGTATTCCATCTGGTAAGGTCCATGTGTATAGCTATCTTTTATGCTATTTTTAAAAGGTATTGCAATGACATGTCATTCATTGGTCTTGCAAAATTCCGTCATGGGATCTCCAGCATCATTTCTGTCACCAAGGCCATATTTTCCAACTACTGATCCTTATTCTTTGTTTCCAACCTCCACATTCCAATCTCCAGTAATTATCAATACACCTTGATGGCATGTTTGTTCAATTTAACACTATAGAAGTTGGTAGACTTCTTCAGTTTCATCATCACTGGTTTTAGTGGTTGCT